GGGAGGGAATGCATGTAACACTGAAACACATAAATACTTATCTGCATAGTTGATATTAGTGACTACTAATCAAACTAAGGCCTTATCTGGAAAAAGCTGAGAACACAAGAAATTTTCTTCCCCCACTTCTCTGGTGAAATCTGGTTAAGTCTCAAGCTCTGGCTGCCTTAGCAGCTACTTGTTTTGGCCTGTGATGGTGGTATCTCTTGACTGGTTTTGGTTGATTCTCTATCCCTTCTTTTCTTGGTACTAGACAGTAATAAACGTAACTGTCTATTGATAAAATAGATCTGCACACACTGCTGGGCAAAAAGAAATAAAACACACAACCAAACCAAAACCGCTTAGTATTGCGCATGACAGGAGTCAACATGTACACCACTTGCTTTGGGTTACTTCACCATAAAGGAAAAACTTACAGTCAATGGTTATTACTTAAGCAGGAGATGACAGCAAGGAAAGAGACTGAAATCCACTTCTAGATACAAAACATGGGTTTGTTTTTTCTAGAGTTGCTCTGTAGAATTACAGCTGTCAAAATGGCTACAAAATACAGACCTATATCCTTGACTACTGACAAGATTAGCAGAGTTTTATTTATGAGGAGTGTGCAAAAACAGCTGTAGGGAAACTCTGTACTTCCCCAGTTTTGGGCCAGTTCCAGGCCATGCTGATCTCTCAGCGTAACTCATAGCAGCAGCAGGGCTTTCTATGGCCCCAAAAGGCTATTACAGCAGCAAGGGATCACCGGGTCATAGAAAAAGGATGATGAAGCCGCACCAGAAGTTTCTACAAACAAAGCATTCCCCTACACAACAGTTATCTTTCCAGTGGCCCAGTAAAGCGTACTTCTGGCTGCTTGTTTTGGCAGTGATTTCTTAAGCAGTAGATAGACACAGATTTTTCACAGCAGCTGCGTTTGTTAAAAAAGACTGTAACAGTCCAGCATCACCAGCTGTAGATTCCCCATCTCACAGATCAGCCTAGGATAAAGAGCACATGTGCTCAAAGGAAATTAAACAGCCACACAAGAGCCAGGTTAGCTCAGTTTACTGCCACTGGTGGATGTGGCAAACTCCACTGATACACTAAGGCAGATTAAGAAGGACTCTCACTATCACTGCAACTAGCTGACCTACCAGCAACAGTCCTATCTTTGACTGGCACCGTTAAACTGGTAATCTGCCTATGGCCTGGTTTACATAAACAGGCTCACTCAAACATGTGAAGACAAGCTAAGAACTGAAACAGCAGATAGGCTATTCTCTGCCACAGGATATTCAGTATCTAATTTTCTGCTCTCTAGGTAGATTCTCCACTTACAAAGGACTCTTTGTTCCATTCCCATTCTGGAAAGCAAATGCTTCCTTTTCATATTGCAACTCAAAATTAGATCTTACCAGGAAAACACATCACAGAACTAGCACAGTCTAGTGATGTGTACATATGTTACCTTAATTTTAGCACTTGGTCAACAAGTGAACTGGTAATTTCAGGTACACATTTATAATAATCATAAATTAAGATAGATTATTGGCACAGAATTGTTAATAAATCACTAGATGATCTATTGCAGATTTGCTAATTTTGTCAGAGAACAAGGAAACAAGCACAGACACTATTATGAGGGTTCACTTGCAGCTAACAACACAGGAACTTACTGTTCATTATATTAAAAGAACCATTGACGAAATCTCAACAAATAGAAAGTACAACATGAAATGTACTTCATGGTGAATGTTTTAGGCAGCATGAGAAGCATAGCCAGGTCTAACTTCAATTAGCAGCTGCACTCTTGGCAGGTTTTACCAAATTCCTTCTTACATATGATGCACAGTAGAAAGCAACAACTTTGGTAAATGTGTGAATCCTTTCAGTAACTCATGTCAAACAGATGCAACACATAAGATTCTTTGTGATTCATCTCAACTCAAACTTGTTGCAAGCTGCTATTTTAACCTTCTTTCTTTCCCCCCTCCTTGGGCTTGCTAGCCACACATTGCTGCCTCAGCAATTGTATTTAATAACGTTGCCAAGACAGGGCCCATAATATTTTACTTGTGACCTAATTAAGATCCAAATTTAAAACCTTCAGAAAACAATGCAAGAAGTTTCATTCCCATTAGCCACTTCTTTTCTCTCATTCACATATATGCACTCACACACTCTTTTATTGTACCGCCATCTTTGCACAAGCGTTCCCCTTTCAAGCGTTTAATAAAACCAGCAGGATGCAGAAGGATAAAGAGGTTTCTCATGAATATTGCTATATGTCTGTATTTGTGTGTGTGTGTGTGTGTGTGTGCGTATATGTGTGAGCGAGAGAAAGAATGCACAAGCACAAAGAACCAATGCGATGGTACAGCAGCTACACACATTACACACTTGTTTTGTTTTCTTTACAAAAGGGAAAAATAGTTTAACAGCATAAAGCCGTTTTGGCAAGCTTAAGATTTTCCTCCAAAATGCAGTCCAGCACTTCGGGATCTCTCAGAACAGTTTAAAGAGGGTAGGGAAATAAAATTAAAAAATAATAAAAAAAAAAAAAAGAAAAAAAAGGCACTTAAACAAAGGACAAAGGCCTGAATCAAGTAAGTCATGGAGGGTAACAGCCATTACACCAGAGCTAGGACCAATCAAAATCTACCAACCTTTTTTAATGTCTATAAAATTAAAATTGCATAAAGTGTTAATTAATAACTCATTTACCTACTGCTTTCACCTTCCGGTTCATTTTATAGTAAAAAAAATAAAAAATTACAAACCCAAACAAAAACCAAGTGTCCCTTTAATGATCCCCCTCCCTGATTGAGCAAAAGATGAAAGTTAGGTGTGGGAGGAAGCCTTCCACAGCTTGGCTACAGATTTTCCCTGCAACGCCATCTTCAGACATATCCAAAACACAAGCAGAAAAGGGACCACTGCGCCTTCACCAAGTCACTCCAAAAAAAAAAAACCAAACCCAAAACAACCCAATTAAAAAAAACAAAACAAAACAAAAACCAAACCCCAAACCAACCCAAACACCCCAACACTTCTAATCCATCTGTGGGCAAAAACTACTCAAAACAAAAACCTGTAAACTAGATTAAAATTTGCTAATAAATACACCCAAAAGTTCATTTTACGAATGTAGCAGCAAATGTGATAAAGTTAGTTGGAGTCCAAGATGACTCCCAGAGGGTTAATGGTTCACACAACTGATGACAGCTTGGGAGAGCTGCAGGATTTCTCTGTTTTCATGTCCTCAGGGGTCTTGCACCAACTGGAGAAGGAGTGTGGAGGAAGGGTCAGGTGATGGGACTCCAGGAAGGAAACAGGCTCTTGGCACCTGTCCAACCCCCAAATCTGTGCATCAGACAACTTTGATCGGATTCAAACAAGAAGCAGAACCCAGGTAATTAAAAGTTACTTCTGATTAGCAGAAAACAGATGTGAAACCCACAGCATCCACACTTGTGACTTAGTTGATCGGTATTAAGTCATGTTTCTCGTATCAACAGAGAAGGCCAGACAAAGCGATTTAGGCCATTTGCATCTTGGAGTGGGAGAACACTGCAGTTACAGTCCCAAGATATTAGGAAGCTTTGCAGCCTGTTTTTCATCTAGCCTGCCTTCTTTCTCTGCAAGTGTCTTGAAAGGATTTAAAATAGCTACTATGACTTTTGGGACTTTGGATCATGTAGCAGAGAGTATTACCCAGATGGTTTTAACATCTAAAACCTGTGTTTGAAATTATTGCTTGCATGTGTTTGGAGCTTTCAGTGAGCTTAGTGTGTTCGCTCATATACAGTCCCCAAACCAAGTTCAGCCCTGCTGCCTGGAAAAGACAGCTCTACGTGGCTTTCTTATTGCTTGTGAATACTGAGGGTTATTTAGTATGTACAACTACAGTTTATTTATTAACAAAGGCCCTTAAAAAGTAGTAAAAACTTCGGGGAAAATGTCTTTAGAAGAGCTGCTGTGCAGAAAATAGTAAAACATTAACCCAATTTTGCATTTGGATGTTGCAGAGATCTTTCTCTTCCCCACCCCGTTTATGCTACCCACAAAGGTCTCTAGGAGCCACTCTATTATTTCCTTTAACTTGGCCTTGCTAGATTTAACCAGGGAAAACAGCGAACAGGGGATGTAGACCCTTTCAGTGCTATGTTGCCGATTCCAAAGAAGCTCAGGAGCGTAATGACTGAACAGTTACCCTCCGGGGGGCTGTTTGAACTAGCTTCACAAAGAACATGTGGTCATCTTTATTCTCATCATCCTACTGCTTATTTCCACAGTAAGCATTAGTTTACTTGTTTCCCAAGACTGAGAAGCTCAATAGGCTGCACAGACAGGACTACTCTTACCCTTCTTAAAATTTAGAGAGGAAACTCCCTAACTGAAGATGAGGCATACTTCCAGGAAGGGAGGAATGCTGAAAGGAAATCTGTGCTGTATAAAGGGCTCCAAGTCTCCCAGTCTAAAATTTCTTCAAATATGAAGACAAAAGACAGCAATTTGAATGAGATGCCTTGATGAAGAAAACATAGAAGAGGTAGAACTCTCTTAGGACAGGGTCTTTAAATATATTGCTGTCTGATGCTCACTGCTGCAGCTCCCTCAGCTACATACATTGTTAAGAAGTATGCGGTTTGACACAGTTCTGAGAATCAGCAGCTTGCCAGGAACTGTTAGGTCTCAAAACCTGAAAGTTATCTTCCTTCAACTCTTCCTGGAGAAAAGATGGTGGTGGTAGAAGAGGAAAATCAGATAAAGCTTGCCTTCTGAATATATTATGATACTCTGACAGAATTTTCAGTATTAAGAATATCAGGGTCTACGTAGCTGTATGTTTCAACTCAAAATTAACCTTGATGATGGAGATGCAAGCTTATCTAATTAACATGCCACATACTAAATGTTAGCACTAGCTAAAAAGCATTTAATTGGCAGATGCTGTGGAGTGAAATTAATGAACTAATGCATCTTATTTTAATTCAATCTGTCTTTCACAGAAGTGTTGTGCAAAAACATTTATTGCTGAGCTCAACCCAACATTTTATACTAAATACACAATATATATTATTTTAAATTCACGTATATATATTTATATAAAATTAAAATGAGCTCTAAATAGAAAAGAAATTGTTTGTCTGGTCTAAGAAAAATAAATCACATGTAAAAGAAACCTGAAAGCTATAAGTTAATCTAGAAAAAAAAAACACAGAAGATTCGTTATCCAAGGGTCAGAGTCTCTCTGAAAGGTGTGAGATAACGAGTAGTCACTGGTTCATTCTCAAATTGAACTACTGGAAAGACTAGTTACTAGGAATTTCAGCATCTCTGATCAAGGGAATGTTTTGGAGTTCAAGGAGAAGGACATCATACGACTTTATTTGCTCCTTTCCCCTATGACTTATTTCACTTTCTGCTATTCTCTCCTTTCACCTGACAGCAAGGGACTCAACAGTGAAGTTCTGTCCTAGTATCGAAAGTGCAACGTATGCTGGATACCTCTTAACGTTACAAATAAATCAGTCGATGTACTGCTATTAAAAAAAAGAAACCCAAACAAAAAAAGCCAGCTTTGCAGTCTTGTGCTACCATGCAAGAAAGAATTCAGGTCAGGAACTCCCCAGGCCAGCAGGGGCTGGACATGCTGGAGACAACCCATTCAGCCCCCAGAAGAGAAGGCACCTCTGGTCGCTTTTGAACGACTCCTCTTTGGCTAATGCCTGAAGCAGTATTAACTTGGCTCTGGAACAGGTCACAGACAGCTTGCTTTATCTACCAAATCTGTATAATGCATGGCTTTTGGGAGGAGTTAGATGAAAGATGAGGAAGATCTACAATGAGTAAAGAACTGGTTGTTTTATAAAAAATAAACGAGTAGAACATTACTTAATTTCAGTAGCAGATAAGCACAAGGCAAAGGAAAACAAAGCTTAACAAATGGACTGAAAAATCCGTGTGCCTTTAAAAAAAAATGATGTGCGCAAGAAATGCTAGTCTGACCAATAAAATGTAGGTTTTCATGTAAATGGAAAAATTTCCAACCCTTTCCTCCCTTAAGTATTCATATTTAAAAAAACCCAATCAAATAAGGAGCAAGAAATTTTCCCACATCTTGATAGGCCAAGAGATCTGTTTTTGAAGACAACTCTCTAATTAGACTGCATCCATCTGTAGGCTCCCCTAAAGCCAAAACAGCCTTCTAATGCTGAAAACATGCCTGTATGGGAAATTGCATTCATGTAAGGGTTTTATTACAATACAAAGTGCCCCAGCACCACCTCTATTCTAGATAACTTTTGATCCACAACTGTATAGTACACTCAGGACCTACACATCATAACTGGGCACTTTGGGCACTAATGAAGGGGATGATTCCACCTTACGCAATGGATGGAGAAACCAATTCCAGCTCCTCTCATGCTTTCAACTCTTCATTGGACATCACCCAGAAAGAAAGACCAAAACAAAACATATGTTTGTGCTGCTGTGGGTTTGACGATCAATTTCTTTTAAAAGCCAATCAGAACAGGTAAAAAAACTTGTTTCTTTAGTTAAGATCAAACTATGACCAGTCTGCATGACCAGGAGGACCAGTCCTCCTTTTCCTTCTCTCTTTGATCAAGTATTGTTTTCTTTTTCTTCTTCCTCTCACCACAGTGCTTGGGATCAAAATATGTAAACATCGACAGAAACAGCAGCCCTGTGACAATAAGCACTTTCCCAACTGGGCAGATCCTGTCAGCCAACCAGAACCGCTTCAGCTCCCTTGCTTGTCCAGAAGTCACTGGTTTTTTCGCTGTAACTTAGTGTCCCCTTTACTTTGGCCTCCATCTGTAATTTAGAGATAGCAAAAGGGAAGAATAAAAGCATGAGTGACCTTTTAATTTATAACTTACAGCAAAAGAGACAGGAATTTAGCACGTTCAGCTTTAGCATTACCAAAATGTACATTACAGGGTGGAAGACTGCATCTTCTCTATAGTTCATTTATTAGAAATAGCACTGTTGAAACCTGAGATATCAGGCTTCAGATGGAAAGATAACATCTTTCTAAAGATTAAGTTGCAACTTGGGATACCAAAAAGAAGTTTTTGAAAGTCAAAATTAAAAAAAAAATCAAGCCTTTCTTTGGAAGCTTTTACATTTTAATAAAGCATTTTTAGTATTTTAGTATTCAACCCATGGCACTTACTGTGACAAAAAAATTATGGTTGTACTCAATAAAGTCAATTGGTTTCCACAGCCTCTTTGAGCAACACTGCTCAGTTTTTTGGTGCTGAGAACAGGATGAAGAACTCCCACCCTTCCTGTTCCTTCTGGAAAAAAAAAGCCAAACCCAACAAACCCACCGAAACAAAATACCGACAGATGGCAAAGAAAAGAGTCTAAATAAACTGTACTTTCTAAAGCTTTTTGATAGTTTTCAGCATCAACCCTTACAAACAGAAAAAAAAGATGTTCTACTTCAAGCTTCTCTACCAAAATAGGCAACTCTTATCAAGGATAAAATTATCAGGGAAGGCAAATATTTCATTAGGGAATCATTACACTGTACACATAGGTATACACTCTTACGAGAAGCATGAAGAAGCTTCCAGCTGGAAGGTCAGTTTCTCCTCCAATGGAGAAATTATAACTGAGTGGAAAAAAATAATCTCACCAATACTGACTTTCTGCAGCCTGTAAATAATCATGTTAGGGTCCAGTAAGTAGTATTCCTTTCTCCCCCCCCACTAACTGAATTTATACACTGTGGTTTATAGAAGTGCTATGATAATGGATGGTTTTGAGCTTTTTTTTTTTCTTTGCTCCTGACATTGAAGACAAGTAAGAAAGAAAAAAAAGAAAGTTCAGGTTCCTTAAATACTGCTGTGATAGAATATGTACTGTCAGCTGCTACTAAAGCTTGTCCCTCTGCTGCACCTCTTTTAAACCAGTTTCAGTTCTGGTGCACGTTTTATTTCAGTCTAGGTCAGAAATCTAACTTTAAGTTAAAAATAAGCAATAAGAAAAACACAGTGTCTTTACCTGTGTAAGCTTGCTGCAAGTGAGCAGGCAGAGGTGAGTGAGACAGTGTTGCTGCGTGCTGAGCACCTGGCTGTAAACCCTTCAGTAAGTCTAGGGGAAAAAGGAGAGCAACAAAGATAAACCTTAAAAACAAGAGGTAGCCTTTATGAAACAGGAAATTTTTATTTTTAGGGTATAGTATATTTATTTTTAGCTATAGTAGCATGCTAACTTGCACTGATTTCTGAAGGTGTATCTCAACAACAAAGAATAAGTACCTGATAACATTCTGATGGCTGGAATAAGTCAACAGAAACAGACCTATTCAGATATAGTTAATCAAAAGTCAGAGTTAGGACCATGCCTTGCTATTGGGATGCAACTCTTCATGTCATTGCCTTCAGCAGAAAGGCCAAGAATTAATACAGCTTAAAACCCCAAAGAATTTCTTTTCAAGCAGTAGGGAGAAAAAAAAATTAATTAAGTGCCATCTGGGTTGATACTTCCTCTTAAGAGAACTGTTTGATATCCAAGATTACTAAGCTAAGGATATTTTAAGGACTCACCATATTAAGTCTTATTTGTGTTGTGGCATTTGGAGATTTTTAAGCTCTATTCTTTTCTAAAGATACAGGATTAAAAGTTCACCCAAAAAAGCATGTTCAAAACTAAACATATACTGTAAATGTAACAATGAAGTTAAGCTTGTATCAAAGGTGACTCATAATTATCTTAATTTGGATAATAAAGTTTTACCAGTGAAGAATCACATTTACTCTCCTGTAGGAATTTTCATAAACCAAATGGGAGTCTCCCAGAACTTTTTTGCTTCTCTTCTTAAATTCCATTTCCAGGATGCATCTTTCCTGATAGCACAGTGTGGTAGCTGATTGCACTCACTCTGAGTTAGGCTGTGGTGGAAAGCCGCTGAGGTAGATCCCGAGGTGGTTGTCGCTCCAGCTGTGTCCGTCCCAAAGCCAAGCAGCTCCAAGGGAAACTGGAAGGGCACGGTCACAGGTACAAGGCCGCCCAGCATCCCAAAAGGAGTTAATGGTGCAGATGTCACATTCTGACTGGTTACAGACAGGGGTGATGCCATAAGAGTCAGAGGTGAGGCATTAGCCAGTAATGATGCTCCTGCTGTTGACTGTACAAAGAAAAGGAGTACTTGAAGATTTTAAAGCTTTGAGTTGCATTCTTTAAGGAAATAAGAATCAACTATCTTCTGTTAACTGTGGCACTATTAAGAAGAGTATTAAACTATTAATAAATACCCACTTATCGACTCAGGAGGTCTTCCCACTGTTCTTCTATTAAAATAGTACAATTATAACTCAAATTCAGACATGACAGTATGGTTCATCTCATGGTTTTCTCAGGTCATTTCCTCTACCTCCTTTCTAATTATGCACTGGGTCTACAGTCAGAATCTAATGCAGCATCTTCTATAGACTAATAATATGAAATCATCAGATGTAGATCTGAAGTTCTTTAGAAGCACAGTATCACTCTCCCCTCTCCAAATCTGGGTCTCAACAGAACACTAACTTTATTTCTAAAGTGGCTGATTAGAAGCAGTGATTTTTGAAAATTAAGATTCATATATAAGAACCTCATACTTAAAGAGAAGTCAGGTTAGCAAAATACACACATATGGAGGTATACATGTGTATACACACGTCAAAGCAAAAGGCAAAGGAAAATAATCTCTGCAGTCTGCACAGGTCACAATGAAGTTAAATTCACTGTAGTTTATAAATGAAAATGTTGAGATTAGCCAGAATATTTTAGCTACAACAACTCCCAGACTGCATTAATTCCTGTAACATTAGATCAGCTTATTCTTGTTTAACAACTGTTTTTCACTATGCAATAGTAATTTTATAGGCGGATATATAATTAATTATATATTAATATTGCCTAATCATCTACTACAAAAGTACAGAAAGCATTCTAAATCAGACTCAAGCTCAGATATTTCAGATATCAGAGTTAAAAAGACTCATACTGAATAAGACTTCAAACCTGTGTACTTAATACATGTAAGCCCTAACTAAACCCAAGACTTAGAATTATTTTAATGATTCACATTGAAATGAAATGGAAGTCTCTGTGACTTCTGTAATATCAACTTACAGAAGCAGCAAAGTGATTAAAACTCCTAGAAGTAATAGCGTTTCTATTACCAGTTTTAGGTCTTAGGTGTTCAGATGAAAGCAGCTAAGAAAAGTTGCTGCTTATGAGAAAACATCCTGTAAGCGTAGACAACTACAAATGCGATGTTAGTAGCAAGTGTTTTTATTGGTCATCCTAGGAGTGACAGCTTCTAAGACTTACTCCATCCCCCCAATAGGGTATTAAAGTATGTTGAAGGTTTTCATCCCTGATTATTCTCTTTTGCCTTCAAAAGTACTAATTGCACAATAAGCCTATGTACAAAAAATGCAACCATTCATTGTCTATGTGATCTTTACTGTGCAGCAAAATAAAAAGCCATACAGTAATCCTCTTATAATTGTGGTTTTGTAAAATGCCTGAAAACGGAAAGCAGCCTTGTAATATGCTCTGCCAAGACAGCTTACTCCATCAAAAAGGGGAGAGAAGTTCAGTGATGGAAAGGGCTATGAAGAATGCCCTAAGAGAGACATAGCTCAGATGTTTCTATTTATTTCACCTATATTAGCACTTCATAAAAGGGTCTTTCCTGGTCATATAAATCTGAGTCAATAAGATCTTTAAAAGTCTAAGCCAGATTCTGCTAAGGAGTACTAGTGCTAGGTAGAAGCTTTTTAAGGAAATCACACTATAATCGCTGAATTTTATATTACTTTGGCTTTGTATTCTTAAGATGTAACTTAACAGGGTATTCCAGAGTAAAATTTCTGTGGAGCTACAGCACGTGTATGCTTATATTCTGGTAAATATACGTGTCAATCAAAAGGGGAAAGGAGGGAAACTCTTCTTGGAAATTCTTCCTAGTTAGGAACATCTTTATTATCGCATGAAATCATCTAGTCTGATCTTCAATGTAGGAAGACACTGAAGATGTCAACACAACATTCTAATGAGCGACTCAAGTACCATTCTCATCATCTGACTGATTAACAGTATCTCAGATAGGAATTAAATCCCTAAAGCTTTAATGGAAAGGGGATACACTTTCAGCCTTATGCAAGGTTTTAAGAGGTCCATTGCAGTTTGCAGTGCTTTGTATCTTAGTACACTGTACCTAACAACTACTCTGGAATCAAGTTCAGCAGCCACTGGATCTTTAAGGCTAAATAAATATAAAGCCTTCTTATCACCAACCTCTTCCCCTTCATTGTACTTGGACTGGGAGGTAATTTGATTCTAATCTTCTCTTGAACATACTCCACTGACTGCGCTTCAGTCTGCACTACAGCAACAACCCTATTCCATGGTTTATCTGCCTTGCACCATTCTTCTGAACCATTCTGAGATTACCAAAGTAACTTCTGAAGTGTCAAAACCACCCACATAGAAAGTCACAATAATAATGTTAGTTATATTATGTGCTGCTCAGTACCTCTAGCTGATTTCCCCCTTCTATATACCAACACATCTTTTTTTGCTGTATTACAGTATGCACTCATGTTACTGGATTATCCACCACACACCCCCCAAGTGTTCTTCAACATCAGTGTCTGCCAAAATACATTTAATTTCCCAGATCATAAGTAAAAAAATAAAAAAGAAAAAAAAATCACTTGCTTTTAACTACAGAAAGGTTTGCCAAAATTCATCTTATCATCCAACACAATACTATTGATTTCCCTCATCCTTCATCTTTAAGCGCTACCACACCCATTTCACATTTTCTTCTACATCACAGCAACAGTATCCACTGGATCCTATTGACTGCACCAGGAAGAAACAGCTCCATTCCCAGTCCATTCACTGTTGGCTTTTTTGTCTCCACTAGGCACCTTCCAGAATACCCAAACTGGACTGTATCTGGCTCACCTTTTCTCTAGACTCTAAATGGTACCAGAGTGCCCCTTGCACTGCATGTGGGTTAGTTGGGGTTTTTTTTTCATTCAAAGTACCCAAATAATGAGAAGGCTCTGTCAGAGCCTGCCAGACATTTCTTGTTTACTGTAACAGACTTACGGTACAGTAGGATGAAAGACCATAAAAACGTCCTATTAAAAAAAAAAACTTCCTCCTGTCATTCAGCTGCATTAAGAAAAATTTGCTAATAAGCTAAAAAATTACAAACAATTGCTAAAAGCTGAGCATACGTCACTTCCATACAACAGCTATGTCCACTGTTCAGAAAAATACAAAGCTTTCCATTTGCTGTACACCAAGACCCTGATTTACAGTGATATGGCCTAAGTTTACTTAAGTAGTGAAGACCTCAGAATAAAGAAAGCAATGAAGAGAGAGCAAAACCTCAAATCAGCTGAGTAATTAAATAGTTCCCAGTAAGAACACCACACAACTTGGGAAAGCAAGTTGTCTTCTGAGTAAACCATAGGTTTGCATGGGGTTTAGGACAACAGTATTTTCAAAGTATTTGTTTTGTAGGACTGTTTTATCTCTAAAGTTCTACATAGCTCTCAAACAATTTCTAGGATATTTATATATTAGAGATGTCTCGTGCAGTTTGACTAGACCCTAAGATATAAAATACATGTTTAATCACAAATACTAAATAAAAATCCAGCATGTGTTAACTTTAGGCTTGCTTTATACTCAAACCACAAGCAACTGAACTGTAGTTTTGCAAATTATTCATGAAGCTTGGCAACAAATGTACCAATACACCTTTTCATGTGACCAGCACCATTACAAATAGGCAAATATGCAAGAATATACAAACCCAGTAATGCAAGAAAATACCACATCCCCTGGAAATATGGCCACAGAAGGCTTACCTTTTCTAGTGTCCTTAACACAAACAAAAGTGTACTCTGTTTTGCAGAACAGACCAACCAACATTTTACAGTGAGGATTCATTCCATGCTATCTCTGAATTTCACATTAGCTGGAAATACCTATTCACTAGTGAGAATCAGTTTCATCAGTATTAGCATTTATGCTTAGTAAAGTATACACACTGAATTTATGACACATTTGCAAATCAAGATACTGTAAGAAAGAATGTTTACAAAATAAATGTGATAAATATTAATGCAAGGTTTAAATGTAAACTTGTTAGATGCGTACCTGCACACTGGCTGCTACAACTGGAGACCCTGAGGCAGAAGATGGTCTGTGTGGAGTTGACAATTGTTTAGTAGCACCCTGTGTTCCACTTCCTGCTCCCCCAGACAGACTAGTCCTACTAGCTCCACTTGAGTTAAGGTTACTGCCTCTGCTGGCAGGTACATTCATTCCAACTCCACCCAGATTATTTTTACCAACAGTTCCAGAAGAAGAGTTGGGCAATTTTGAAGAAGCCTGAGGGTTCTTTGCAGGCTGAAGGCCTGAGGTGCGATTAGAGGGCAGCAAATTCACTGTGGGAGACTGCCTGCTGATATTTACACCACTGGACTGTTTATGAAGGGGGTTGTTGCTGGAGTGACTACTCTGGGAAACTAGTGCACTTGAACTGGAAGAACTGGGTGTTGTTGCAGGCCTGGGGGATGAGGTGGACTTGGATGAAAACTTAGGTGATGCATTGGGCTTGGGTGTGACAGAGGGTTTAGATGCAGTGGGCTTGGGAGAGGCAGCAGGTTTAGGGGAGGCAGCCATGGAGAAGGGAGGCTTGAAACCCTGGGAAGAAACCTGTGACACCATAGCCTTGGCTAAATAGTTACTAGAGGTAGAGGTGCTGGATGTTGTCCGAGAAACCAGTGGGTGAGACACTTGAGAGCCACTTCCAGATGAGGGATTAGACAAAGGCAGGCGATATACTACAGACTTATCTTGAGCCTTGATGACTGGTGATGAACAAGACAGTTTGGGATTACTACTCAATTTCACCACTGGATTGGTCTGTGATTTACTAATAGTTGCTTGCAAAGGAGATACATATTTCTGCTGTACAGCTGAATGCTGGTGCACCTTTGTCACTTGTGATGTTGAGGAAGAACCACCTTGGGCCTCAGAAGATGATACCAAGATACTAGCATCCTTGGTTCTCTGAGAGGTGGAAATAGCTGCTTGCGTCTTAGAGGAAGAAACATGAGTCTGTGAAGAGGAAGAAGCGGCTTGGATCTGGCTTGACCTCTGTAGTCCTTGCTGAAGTAGTTTGGCTGGCAAAGGCTCTAAGGAAACTTTAGGATTTTGAATTGAAGATCCAGCAATAAGGCCTGAAGAGATACCAGTGTGAATTAGGTCCTGGGGTTTCTTTGGTACTGGCCCTGTGTGACCAGCAATAAGACTTGATGAGTGGGGTGTCTGAGTGGGCTCTACTTTCTTCGAAGTTGCCAGGGGCAACTTGCTCATAATGCTTGCTAGTTTCTCTTCCCTCAGTCCAGGACGAGGTCTGGGTGTTGGTGTGTCTATGGTGGATCCAAGAGGTGATCCCTTGGCACCATTATTGATAACTGCCAGAGCATCAGAAATAGAGTCCAGTGAAGGTGGGTGGAACGAGAGGTCTTCATCCAGTGAGTCATCCAAACAGATGGTCTCTGGTGCTGGTGTGCAGCTAGAGCTGGCTGGGGTGCAGACAGACGTGCTGGAACTCAGTACAGCAGCGCAACTTGAATTGACTGAAGACATACAGGTTTTCTGTTCTTTCTTTGGACTGGAGTCCTGAGAATAAAGAGATTACATAGGTTTGCATAGCCTTTCTGGAGTAGATCTGAAGTCTTCTTTAGTGAGATTCTGTTATTCTGTATATTCAGATGAACTGAAGAAGGTCTATTATTGAAACTTTTGTATTACCTATGATATCTAGGTCTTTTAGTCCTCCATGCTAATTCAGTATTTGTGTTTTAAAACCTATTTGTGTTTAAAGCACATTGCTCCATGTAACTAAGAGTGCCCCACACATTTAAGAATAATCTATGAAGAACAGGGTAGCTAACCTGACTGCTGGCTAAAATTGCTACTGAACTAAGACAACACCTAGTCATGTCTAACAAGAACCTCTATCAACTTGCGCTATTCTCCCAACCACGTATTTTTCCAGTCTTACCAAACTTAATAGAGCTGACAAAGAACCAAAACACACTAAAAATATGTGCAATTTTAATGGAACTAGTACCTCATAATAGTCATTTTCAAAGAACTAATATAGCCTAAAGTTACAAAGCCATACAGAAGTCTTGAACTACTTTTTCTGAAGTACTAAAGCACCAAGTCAATAAGCTCTTACAGCATTTCCTGACAGAATCCTTCTGCCAGAATTTTTCTGGATCAGAGGCAGGAAATAGCTTGTATCAAGTGATCATATAAAATTCAGATATCTAAACAGGCATTTACCTTCACTTTGGGTTTAGGGGCCAGAATCACCTTCTTCTTTGCCCTAAAACAGAGGATACACATGTGCATCAGAAGACAACAGAAAGGCAAGTCACTTCAGTTTTAACTGTTACCCCATCCCAATATGACAGACAACTACTGTAATCCAGCTTTAACAATAAAACATCCAGAAAATGGGTTAAATACAGAGGGGAAGAGAACAAGCACACCTTTAATCCATTTTTGGGTCAGGTATCTCTAGTAATTTAGATGCAAAATTCATGGAATTTCTGATATAATCCGATATGTATCAAGAGAGCCATTTTTTACTTGTCCAATTCAGAGAAACTAAAAAAAAAAATCAAGTAATTTCACTTTACATTGATGGCTTTGTCACTAAGGAGTATACTTTGTGTTCTCATTTATATTTCAAACCACATAAAATCAGGTGCTTCCTCCCGAAGAAAAGAAGGGTTCTGTTGCTTAAAAACTGTTTCACTGTTGTATCTAACTTCTGTTTGTTGCAAGAAGCCATTTAACAAGCTTCCAGGGTCTTTTGCAGTGTAAGTGAACACCATAGCACCAACTGCAGTTATGCAGTCAAGGACAGCATTAAGGATTATTAGTCATCAGCTTCAATTTTTAAGTTAGGCATTTCACACATTTTATTTCTATTTCTTCAAAAGCATTTACATTTTATAGGTAATTTTCTCTCCTTTCCCACACAACTAGGAATATGCCTGGTTAAAAGACAACCTCACTGTAGGTGGACCATGACTCAGTTTTGTTATGTATAAAAATATCTTGTATCAATCATTTATCACAGAGACTGCAATTTGTGTGCTATTCAAAGTCATAACTGTTTATCTGAATTCTGGCTGAATGCGAACAGGTCCCCAGAGGGACATAGTGTCATTGAAAATCAAGGTAAAATTCCACTAAGATACACAGACTTATGTTGTTATATTTATGAAGAAAAGAGCAGGAAGTACTGCAGCCTCTAAGTTCAATTTAATATGCTGTACAGCAAAATTCAGACAGCATACAGCACTTTGAAATACTCTGAGTTAAAGGCATTAATCCAAGAATGAATAGCCTCTTGATTTATCTAGCCACTTCATAAATGAATTAAAATATCATGCCACAAGAACATTACTTATTATTAGCATCGTAAGTTTCTTCAAACAAATCCCAAAATCTCTCCCTTTTCTCCTCTGACCAAAAAAAAAAAAAGAAGGAAAAACAAAGTAGCAAGAAGATGGATAAAGATACTATGAAGAACCTGAAGATAATAGTTATAAATGTTATACTCACGGAGCAGAAGTGAGGTGATTGTGAACACTTCGGCTTTCTTTAAAAAGCATCCTAAAAGAGTGACAAGTAAAGAAACATGAGGTGATTTTACAGGGACAATCAGCATATAACCACCAAATATGCAAATATCCTTGAATTTTCAGAACATTTTGACCATCTGTCCCCAAAGCAGCTAGTAGGTAGCTTGTCTGTACTGCTCACATGATGTAGCTCCAGGTACCCATAAATAGAAGAATGCCAAAAAACCCCCGAACAAACAAAAAAACAAACAACAATGAAAAACAATAACAACAAAACAAACAAAAAAAACCACCAAACCCCTAAATTCAAGTTTACATTCAAAATACCTCAGTGAATGGCCAAGCATAAGTCAATGTAATAGAATTTTGAACTCTCCTCAAATACCAAGGAGACATTTTGAATATTAAATTAAGGATTATCGTAAACTCTTCACACTATGTAGTCACACACTGATCACAGTTTGAGTTTTGAGGTTAGTCTGCTGTGCTTTGGTGTTATTTTTGTTTCTGTTTTTTTATCTTTGTTTTTCAAAACAGAGGGGAAAAAAGTCATAATGCAGTAGCCATGCCAGCTTTTGATTTTCTTCAGTATTTTACCCAGGCCATTAAGTACCATTTCTGTGACTTCAGCTACACTGGACTTAAACATACATTTTACTACAGAGCCAATGAATGGCAAGAGTTGGTATGACAAATCTCAACAGTTTACATGCTTTTATTTCCTTGTTATCAACCCATGACAAGTGAGAAGTGAAAATGATTCTCGATCTGTACCTATCCTGCAGCTTACTACCCAAACGCAGCTATACGTAGACAACTAATGAAAACTTGGCCCTCTTCCCTGTTTCCAAGGTAGGCAAACAAGAACAGACAAGATTTTCCTACACCACTATCACAGTAACAGTGATCTTATCATAAACATCTGTCTAAACAAGAGCTTTTCACCAATAACACATCCTTAGAGCTGCAATAGTTAACAGAAAAAAATCCATGTATCCAAAATCTCATAATCTGGCAAGAAAACATTGACATCCTCTTGCTACATTTCCGTGCCTTAATTCTCAGATTCCACTTTGTCCCAGTTTCTTTATGATAATAACCTCCAAATCTGTATTACGTTGCTCCCCATCAGGAACTAATGAATGCCCATGAAGAACATAATGTAATGAGATGTTCCTTTTGCTACGAGTTCCATGTGCCACTTTCTGTCCTACCCAGAAATTTCTCCAGAATTTTTCTCTCACACCTCCTTCCTGGTGCTTTGTCTGTTCCTTAAACTTTTTAATTTGGGAATGAAAATCCAAATGAATCCAGGCCCCAGTAACTTGTAGTATCATCCTTACAGGTTCAAGACAAAAGTGTACTACTACAGGAACAGAAGTTAAAGAGATAGCACAAAGAAAGGACAGTGCAGTGTATGCTCCAAAGCAAGAACACACTTAGAAGATAACCCAACCATTGCATAAATATATTCATATTTAAAAGTTGATGAGAGATCAGTAGGAGATTGTTTCTCTCTGATCAAGATTTCAAGTCAAGCATGCTGCTTGACCTGCACAAAATAAATGTGCTCCAAGCCTACATGCATGATGACCTCCAATGATTATTAAACTCTTGGAATTAAAGGAAATACTTCCTGTTCCTTACACTTCATTTTTGAACATACGCATATGCAGGCGTTTTTCTGACACACATGAAATTAATAAGCAACCCAGTTACATAAAAAAATGCGTTACTTTATTTGAAAGGCTTGGGGATCCTTTAAGACAAAAATGTTTTTCTAAATCCATGGATATTAATAAAATAATCTCCTGGGGCAGAGTATGGAAGTTATATATATTGAAAATTCATAAGACAAAGGTAGCTGTGATACCCATGGACAAATGAACAAGGTGCAGTTTTAAATTAAGGTTGATACATATTCTCATGCTTCTATACTGACCTGTGACGAACAGTAAATGCAGTTAATTTTGACAGAGCAAAAAATTTTCCTCTAGGTTGAACCCACAAAGTTCTGGTACCACAGACCTACTCCAATTACTAAGTTTTTCTTGTGAAATGCAGTCAGCAGACCATTTTTAACATTAAAAGCCTTCATTTTTCCAGCTTACATAGCTCCTTCTCACTTGAGACCATGTATAAAGGTAAATCCTTCAGCATGATAATCCTTACTCTAACTTCTCAACAACACTGAGCATCCAGACAGCATATGAATAAAATGTACTGTATTAGGAACTACCACTACCAGACTCCCTGAAATTCTTGCTTTTTCTCTTTCCATGTGTAACTGTTTCTCTACAAATTAGAGTACATCACTTCCTAAAGAGAACCCAGTGAAGTGCCTCCCTACAAATACAGAACAACTTCTATGGCACCAAAACTGCCTAGCTGGTAAAAGAAGTCTTGCTGGTCCACAGAAAGTTATGCTGAGGCAGCTCCTGGTGTTTATTTGGTTTGTTAGTGGGTAAAGGCTTTTTTGTATGCTTGGGGTTTTTTGTCTTGTTCAGGAGGAGAAGTCATTTGGGGGGGTTTTGGTTTGCTGGATTTTTGTCCTTTTGTGTTGAAATACCTTTTATGGGTAGTTTAAAAGCTTATAGAAAGTCTTTAGCATGCTTACCATATGGAAGGGAAAGAACCATATGTTACATGGCTTTCAAATGCAAAGTTTTAACATGCTTCGCTTGTATGTATTCTTGGATGACCTCACACTATCACTTGACTGTTCTGCCACTACCAGTGATCTCTGTTTAGTGTTTTTAAGCTAAATTGGGATTCCTCATCTTGTTTACTTCAATAAAATCTTCATATGAGATAACCTCTCACTCATCAGCATACTTATGATACAAAGCTAGATCCTTGAACAGAAATAAGTCAGCTGTATGCCAAGAAGTGTAAAGGTTCATTTGTTCCTTTCATTACTGTTTCACAAACAGCTTGTTACAACCTCATTTTCTACACTGACTATTCTAGGAAACAATCAGTACAGTTATCTTTACAGCTGGATACAGATTTGACTAATCTACAATCAAGGCAATCACACTGATTAGTATTAATGTATCATAGAATAGTTAGGGTTGGAAAGGACCTCTCCCATGGGCAGGGACACCTCACACTAGACCACGTCACCCAAGACTCCATCCAACCTGGCCTTGAAAACTGCCAGGAATGGAGCATTTATCATTAAGCTTCTACAGTCAAGATTTGATGGGAAATTGTCTTTTGCAGCAGATGTACAGAAGGAAAGAACACCTATATTTGCTTCTCTTCTTCCACTTCAAGGTGTTTGAAAACTGTCAAATTTGAATTTTACAATGATTACTATTGCTCTCATTTTCCCTCCTTTGTGTGGTTGTTTCCACCTAAGTCAGTAGGACGCAAGTATGTCTTCATCAAGAAACTGGTGCATTTTTAACCGCAGCATCACAGAGCATCCCGGTTGCATACAGGAAATAAAGAGCACAAACCTTAGTGTTTTGTGAACTCTGGTGTTGAAATTCCAGTTTATAATATTATAGTCTACGTCACACTGCATTATCAGACTGCCTACAAGTTATATAGGCATGGCTGCTTTCTATACCACTATCACTTTCCATACCACAGGAAGAGCTTTCCCAGCAGTTACCCCATCTCCTCATACCTCTCTCAAATGAAGCATCACACACTGTGTTAGGAACTGTCACAAAATTCAGTCTCCAGCAGATGACAACAGCAGATAGTTCTCCAAAGAAAACACTGGGCTTTTAGCTCTCAGGGTTGCACACAAACCTGAATGTTCTTTAGAAGTTAATTTTTCTATCTTCTAGATTATTTCAGTTCCACTGACATATTTTGAAGTTTTAACCAAAATTAACAGTATGTATTTCAGGCAAATGTGTGACAAAAGAAGATCCAAGAAATTAACAGATATACAAAGCAGGTACCTTACCTTGCTTGCATCCAGCCTTTAGGCCAAAGTGGCTTCACTTCTGTTTCCATAAAGGTTTTGAGGTAATCTTCAGCAGACTGACTTCTATTTGGCTCTAGCTCATAGCATCCCAGCTTGATCTTGACAAGATTACACAACAGAGACCTGGAAAAAGACACAATAAGTGTACTGAAAGAAACAATACTTTCAAAAGCTCAGCAGAAAAAGGCTGAGAAATGGAAGGACTGATACCATTATACAGCTGTTGTCCATCACCATCTGCAAGGAAGAGCTCAGCTCCAACTGGAATTTTTGGAAGCTTGCTACTACAACTGGTATGATTTGTCACTACCACTTTTCTTCCATTTCCAGCAGACTGTATAGCTCACTTTTTGCCATCCTTACTACAATGTCGTACTTGGTTTTACTTTCTTTTTTCTCTAGCTTCCTCATAGCTGAAAGATCTCATGTTGCTCACAGTGGCCTCTACTTCATTTAAGATGGAGAATGTCTCAAAGCAAGTGAAATCCATTTTGCACTCAATATTTCAACAAAGATTCTTCCTGACAGGGATGTTGTCTTTTACTGTCCTCAAAAATAAAAATAGTGCACATAGTTAAGTAACACTGGCCTTTCAGAGCCTCTTCAATGAAGAGCAGATTTAAATATCTCTCATTAAGTATGGCTCCCTCCAGGTCAGTCTAAGCTATACTAGTTTTATATATTCTGTGAAGCTTGCTTCCCTGTCATCTTAACATACTAAAAAAGACTCACTGTGAGAAGTCCATCAGCCCTTTTAAATAATACATACATTTGTATTAAAATTAGCTTATATCTTGCATGGGAAATGTCTGACTTAGAAGGATTTGCTTGCTTAGAAACCTACCTAGATTATTTAAATAACAGTAATCTCAGTTTTTAGTTAAAAAATCTATTCGACGAAAAAGAAAAGTGAGACTTCATAATTGCAGATAAGAATCTGTGTTGCCCTTGAGAGATAACATAGAATTTGTTTTCAGAGGGGGTGGGAGAGGTTAAGATTCATGCATTGTGGGTGCTGGCTTGCCCAAAGACTGGGAGGCTTGCCAAAACAGCATCACCAGTTTTGAAAGTCTACCCTACTGTGGCAGAAATCTTTACTGCTCACTGGTTGACAGCGTTTTGTGACCTATTCCTAGAATGGTGGGAAGCAGGTGTAACTCTGCTTACATGCGTTCTTTGCTTAAAGAAGCTTAAAGTCCTTGGACCAGGAAAATATTAATGTATTTGGGTAACACAGATAAAAAAGCAGCAAAAAAAGCTTGGACATAGGATGGTATAGCCCCTCATGTTAAAGAAGCACAACATTCTAGCTTGCCTGCTTAGCCCCAGCACTCTCAAAAAATTTCTCAAAGGTGTATTTCTGAAAAGCATTGTGTAACATTCCCTTAGAGATCCCCTTAAGAAGTCAGTGATAATTCTCAGTGGAAAAGGTGGTTTTGTCTCACCTCACTGTGTCATCCCAATGAAACTTCTTTCTGGGTCCCACAACCCTCTTTCCAGGTTTCTCATCATCATCTTCCTCTGATCCATTTTTCTCTCGTTCATCTTCCGCTTGTAACCTGCAAATAGAACAATTATTTTCTTTATAGGTATACAGCAGAGACAAAATGTTTCCTTGAGTAAGGAGTGTGGGTTTAGGTGCTAGGGGAAAAAAAACAAAAACAAACAAACAAAAACACACAAAACAAACAAAAACAAAAAAAAAAAAGAAACTTGTCATCAGATTCTCATTACACCCCTTCCTGAAAGTTCATCTCCCCACCGCTTCATGGTCCTCAGAGACAAGTGAAAAGGACACTCTTTATAGATCCTATCAAGGCTACTAGCTATAAACTTCATACGATGCCTCTACTGAGAAATGGCAGGAAGCTTATCAGTTTATTAACGCTTCTCCAAGTCTAAAATTAGTTAACTACGAGTGAAACTATTACAAAGAACAAGGCAAAATACATAAGACCCTGAACACACCATCCTCCTCCATTAATCTGGCATTTTCAGCATTTCCAGCATACTTCTCAGTTTACAGTTTCTTTCTCTTAAGATCTCAGTTAATGGAATTTCTTTCTAGAGCCAGGTGTGATAACATCACCTACCCAAAACTAAGTACTTTTGTACAGTTCAAAATTTACAGACACCTGTAAACTAAAGCCAAGTACTCTGCTGAGCTCAGGGAATGAACAATGTGGAGACAGACTTTCAGCTGGACTCTGGAATGGGCATGCACAGACTCCAAGAATACCTACTTGGCATTCTTGGCTTGATTGCGGGCCTGGCAGTCCTCTTGATACTTGCATAACTGTTCAGGCATGACGTTACTGACAGCCAGTTTCAGCTTTTGCAGTGGTTCTCTCAAGCGGTCATCCTGTAAAAAGAGAAACACCAAATCAGTCTTATTAGATGCAATGTAAGAAGTATTTCAGATAGTTTCACAAAAATTACTTCCTACTCACTCCTAAGGCAATATTCCCAGCACTAACTACTGACCGCAACAGCCATTTCCTACATGGCGCTTGAAACCTGTTAGGTGCAACAGCATTACAGAAATGCATATACTTGAACTTTTTTGTACAATTTTTTTTTTTTTTAAGTCTTAAGACTAGAAACAATGAAAGTTAGCCACGAGGAAAATTATCATGAATATCCCAAAACATTATGGCATGATCTCATTAGACAGTTATTAAAACCAAACTAAGGAAGAAAACCTGAGGGGAAGAGCAAGATGACACTTGCAAATAAGCACAAAATTAATCCAAGTTTTCCAAAACATGCTGTGGTATAAAAACATCCTAGCTAATGAACAATATATATGTATCAGATTATCTGAATATTAATTATTACATGTAATTCATGTACTTCAAAGGTAAAGAATATGTATTTAGAATTACCTTCAAATTAAGAACTTCCACCATTTAAATAATATAATATATACTTCCCTACATGTTTTAAATTCTCTTCCTACATCTCCTGACTTCACAGTGTTAATCATATCTGTGTACTGAGAAGAACTAGAAAACTATGTGCTATTATGACTTACTGTTTAAAAATAGCACATGAATCTGTTTGTCTTCTTAGCAAGTTTGAGACTCTGCATTCATGATCCTCAGATCATCTGCAAGATTTAGTCCTAGATTTCATCTAAAGAATCAGGTCAGGATACTTCAGATCACAGATAACTTTTTTATTCAATAGGAAAACATACGCTAAGAGAAAAGTAACTGTAAATGACACACAAAGTATTTGTAAGACCTAGCCACAAAGGCTGTTTTGCACAAACAGCACAGGCTGGGTCATCTATTATCCTTTCTTTTTTCTTGACACAAAAGTGCATGTAATAGTTATGGGTATTTTTATTTTAGCCTATCATAACCATAATTATTGTGGCTTTCTAGTTCTGTTACTTTGATATGTACCTTGTACCTAGCTTTCAAGATGAAAGCACTTCATTCTGAAATAAAGGGTCTGAAATACTTAAGAGCATTTGTACCTAAAGTAGTGACAATAGTAAATACACATACACACAAACAAAAAAAAAAAGGAAAAAAAAAAAAAGCACTTTTAAGCTTATCTAGCAACTGATCCAATATCTTTTGCTTTACTGGAGACTGTGTGGCTGCTGCGCTACTCCCCTGTGTTCTGTTCTCATCACCATTACATAACTGATCCATGCTGGAGCTAATCTCCCTATCCTTACCTGGACATTGAGGTGTAACTTCTTCAGACGCTTTATCAGTGTGTCCTTATTGCATGGCACAAAAGCCTCAAGGTGAGAGTACACTCCATTGCGGACGGCAGGATTTATCTCCTGTAACTGTAGCTCAATACTGACAAACAAACAAGAGACAGTCAACCACTGAGGCACCCCAAGATGAAAATGACAGCTAAAAAAAAAAACCTAATGAAGCTTTTTATGCATAATAATTCTTAGCTATGCACACCAAAAATATCAGCTTGGAACATTTTCAGATGAATTTTTTTTACAAAAAGAGGATGTCTTCATCAATGGCAAGAAACTATTCAAATGCATACGTTGAACATTATTCAGATTTCATTTATTACCACCACTGCACATCAATCTTGATACAATTTTGACTACTACAATCTCCTAGAGATTATTTTTTGTTTCTTAGAATACGAACATAGAACTTTCTCTATTAAATACTTAATTGAAGCATTAGAGTAAAAAGAGCTGGAATTTTCCTTCATGAAAGCTGAAGGTGTTTTGAGTTATGAAAGTGGGGGACAGGAAGAAATAATGGCAGTTTTGTTGAATTTTACACGTGAAGGACACAGGGCACTACAAAACACTTTACATTGGATAAAGACAGACAGTCATGACAGGAATCATATTCATATATAAATCTCTTTAGCTAGTAACTAGCTTAGACTGATCTACCTTCATTGACTTTTAAGGGCTTTGTTGGAACAACCTCAATAATATTTCCTCTTCTGTACTTTTCCTTTCACCCCCTTTCCAAAAAGGGAAGGTTGTACAGATAAGCACTTACTCCAGCAGAATATTATTCATGTCTTGCGTGAAAAACTTCTTCCTGCCTTCTTCATCAAACATCTTGGCGGCCTGGTAACACAACAATAAAGAATATCCAAAAGTTCATAGAGTATTTAATCCCAACAACCTTTGTATCTTTACTTTTACAGCTGTATTATATTCTTATTTCCCAGAAAACAGCATTACTTTAGAAAAAAGAACAAAATCAAAACCAAACTATACTGAACTGTTTAGAAAAAAGGTGACGGTTGTTGTTACTATACTCAAATAAAACCATCCTGCTCTAGGGCAAATAATCATTACATTTATAATCTGCGTGGATCACTGATGTTAACACATTCATCTTCTCAATAGCTACGAAGAAAGAAATTGGTAGACATGTTTTATTACCTCACAACCAGCTACATTCCACTACCACTGTTTGCTTTAGAAAGAGGACAAGTCAAGCAGGCAACAGCATCAACACATTTTTCAGTCTGTGAAACGTTCCTTTCCTACCTCTATTACCTGCCTCACCCAGTTACAACTTTCCACTCTTCTTAGATAGGCCTTAATCCTTCACTGGTGTTTCTACAAAAGGGTTTTGTATGCTAGAGGAATACCTCGTCCCTCTTTTCTGGTGCTGTGCAGCATTCTCACCATCTTTAGAATATACCTCTAATATTTTTGGTCTCTTCCAAAGTCTGTCTGGGGGTAAGAAAAATATCTCAGTCTTATTCCTATACATACTTCCTTTTATCAGAAGGCTTTCCTGATCTCAAAAGGATTCTACATGGGAATTACTGTATCTTTATTCCTATCACCTAGATTCTTCTTTTCACAAACAGTAACACTTTATCAGAGAAATCCAGTTCCCTGCACCATTCTACAAAAATCAGTAAGGTCTTCTCTCTAGTGCCCATTCCCTCTGCAGATTTATAGAAATCAAGATTAAAAAAGCCCTGCTTTTACAGGCTTATTGTCATCTTCTATTTTGGTGCTGGGACCAGACAGCAAGCTAGGAAAGAATATGCATGCAGAAATGTAAGCATGTATGGTATCATCATACTGACTGACAAATACTAGAGGCAGCCAATATGCTACAAGGCTGAATTCAAATAATCAAAAATCTCCAATAATGCCTTTTAAAAAGTTTCAATGACTTGTGGCAAATTAGGTAAACATTATAAATAAATTCAAGTGTTAGCTTGATAAAATTCCTTTGTCACTATGAAATACTTCCTGTTCTTGCTGTTTGCAAACTGACACATTTAAGTTCAGAAGAAAAATATTTACTGGAATTGTAAACTCTATACTGCACAGGAAAATAGAAGTCTGATACTCTGTCAAAAAACATAAGGTAGTCCATTGTCTGAACACTTTACCACTTCAGTCATAACCACTGATAGCAGAGTTTAAATTCCTATAATGACTGTGTTCTGCCCACTATTTTCTACTGTAAATTCAGCGCTGAAGGGATGGTATTATCGAAGCATTTGTCCTGCTAAAAAAAAAAAAAATTAGAAAGGTGTTTGCTAGTAACAGGTGTTTGAAAGTAACAGGATATCAGAAAGACAAGTTTTAAAGTCTTAAATCCAGTATCTTTAAGCATAACTAATGCAAGGATTATTATCATCTTCTGGTTTATATGAAGTGGAAGGCAAGATATGTTTTGACATTTTGGTCCCATGCAGAAATAATTTCAGCATTATACTATCACACTGGACAGTGTTGCTGGCTGAATTTCCAGATTCAAAAACTGCATCACTGTCACTGAACTGTGCTTGGGTTTAGTTTTGTTGGGGTTTGTTGTTGTTGGTTGGTTTTGCAGATTTTGGTTTTTAATTTTCCCCACAGATTATCTTGATAGTTACCTTCACAATAGAGAAAAAGCCATTTTATTGATTTTCCTGCATGTGTACAATATTGTCTTCTGTCATGGTAGCTCAGAATTGCCCATGTAGGGAACTAGAATGCATTCATCTACAAAAGGAGGTCAGGAAATTTCTGTTGTATTTAGTCACTGGTGTGTTTTTTTTATTATTGTTCTTAATCTACAAACATCATATTCCTGTAACATAGGCTTTTTTTTACAGCTCTATAAACTTCTTAGCTTTCTTTGCAATCAAGAGCACTAAAGCTGTGAGCATGTGAAGTATTTGACAAGAACCATTTCTTTTTTCCTGCCTTTTAGAAGATGTTTTCCCCCCACAGACTATGTGTCAGTTGATTTCCATTTACAGAAGGTGAGAAAGTTGGAGTCTTTATGTCAACAGTCTAGTTTTTCCCCAAGCGTATGGATAAACTTGTTCTGCCAGCACCAAACTTCCAGAAGACATTATCAAAAGAAGAGGATGGAAAAGTTAGGTTTTTCCAAGACCCACTGAATTAAAGCTTTCTTCCAGCTGTGTGGAGCTTGTTATACTGTGAAGCAGCATGAATTTGGGGTAGGCCACTAACACTTCCTGACTTTTGGCCTAATACAGTTCTTTTGCGGTTCTGCTAAAAGCTTATTATTACTTCATAGCAAAATTAATCTGAGTATTCAAGGATAGGCAAAACAACCTCTCTCACTTTGGTATTAACCTCTTGGCTGTAGTTAGCTTGGTACATTTAAAAATTACTAAGAACACTATAAGCCATTTACATACAGGTGAGAAACATGTTTTACCATTATCTGTAGCAAAGCAAGCTCTGCTACTGTTCAAATTATATTTTCCTAAAAAGGTAGTAACTTGAGCTGCTTTTTCAAAATTTGCTCTGAATAAGGAGAAGCTGCACTTTGTTCTGAATAAGGAAAAATTTTAATATCAAAATCTGGATAATCAAACAACAAATTTATTCTCAACTTATCCACAACTGAAACAAGGAGCCTGTCATACCTTAATAGCTCTGATCCCTTTCAATAAGCTATTGAGGTATTTTTAACTTGTAGATTTAATAGTTTTCATTAATATTTTAAACAAGTTTGAACTGCATGCTAACTTTCCAAAAGAAAATACTCAGTTTTGTGGTTATTTTGGAATTTGTTCTTCTTGTAGCTGGGTGGTGGGTTTTGGTGGGGCTTTTCGGGGTTGTGGTGTGGGGTTTGTTTGTTAGGTTTGTTGTGCTGTTGAAGTTAACAGCTATGTTACAAAGCCAAAAGTTCAATACATTTGTAAGCTGCTGTCATATTCCAGATTTCTTCCTCCAAAGAAAGCAAGCATCCATCAATTTCACCAACATTCAAATTAAAGTAACACTGATATTTCCATTATGGAAAAAAAACCTCAAACAATAAAAGTTATTGTACACAGAAGCTTTAGAAAATCTTGTTTCCGCTATGAAACAAGCACTGCTTTAACAACTGATCTGCATTGTCTCTGTGCCTGTTTCATTTGAGTATAAATGGAGATTCTTGAATGTAATCCTTTACCAGTGAATTCATACTTACTGTTCGAAGGTCTCCAATGCGCTTCTCAAGTAGCATAGGCAGACCTTCTGGGAGGGCAGGCACCTGCTTGGGTGTCATGACCTGAGAGGTGTAGGTTGCCTGAGTGACATTTCCATTTTCTCCTGACAGCTCAGATACTGGGCTGCCATCAGAAGTGCCATCAAGCAACTTGTCAAAGTCAATGTCTCCCAGCATCTCCAGGGCACTTTCAGCTTCTTGCATGAGCTCACGTTCATTTGTGCTACCAAAAATGGAGAGGACAGGATCATTGACCCTAAGATTCAAGTCAGAAATATCGTTTCCTGCACTGAGAGAGGAAGAAGGAATTTTACTAGGGGTAGAGGCTGCAACAGTCACTGGCGGTTTTGGACTAGATTCCTTCTTCCTCATGGCTTCCTTCTCCTTTTGAAATTTACGGATCATGGCAGCCAGAGAGAGAGAGTCTTTATACAGTTTCTTTTTCTTCTTTTCAGACTTGTGTGAATTTAAGGCCATTACTCTGCAGACGAAAGAAATCTTTCATTAGAATGCATGTGACTTTTGAGGCCTTAGTAACTTTTACAAAAGCCTGGGAGTTTAGTACAATCAAAAAATGATTGGGTTAATAAAGCAAGTGCTTTGTGCTTCCATCTTCAGACTATTCTATCAACTACCATAAAACTTTGCTGGTCATGTGATTTCATACTCTCCAACTGATTTGTTTTGTTAGGTTATGTACACATTGAGGTAAAGGTTGTTTACTTTTGACTTCTCAATTTAATTATGGAGAAGTTGGAACAGTTGTTAAACTCATGGCTGATCTATCCTACCAAAATACTTAAATTTGCCTCTTGAGGCTTGTGAATGGTGACAGGTTGCTTTAAGACCAGGCACATTAAAAAAATTCTCTTTGCTATGAATTTGGACATGCAGGCTCAACATCTATATGCTACTTAAGCAGAGCACTTTTTGCCAATTAATCACCTCGATAAAGAAAGAAAAAACAACTAGCAATAAATTTACAATACCAACTTGGATATTCATAATAAAATAACTTTCACTCAGCAACAATTTTCTAAAAGCCAATTGAAAACACACAGCCTTAATCTTTCCATGCTAGCCTCAGATCCCAGGAAAGCACATAAAGTTGCTAAGAAATATGTAGAATTAAGCTACGTTTGTAGTTTTCCAGATTAGAAACCGAGGGATATTGAGGAAATTATTTTTCATTAGAAAATGTAATTCTTAGTGCTATATATGACCTTGGGTAGAACAGTGATGGATAATGCTATTCACAAACTTAAAACCTCTTTTCCGTAATGTTTTTTGCCCTTGTTACTGGCTGTTCAAAATTTAGGGGGACAAATAATTAGCTTATAGGAATTATTTATGAAGAAAACCCACAGGAATTCCAAACCCAAAATCTACCTGCTATTAATTATAGTTTAAAAATATTCTGAACAGTTGTTATAATCTTGCTATGGCACACAATCTTAAAACCAAACCTCACATACAATTCAAGGGTTATCTAAGGAAAGAAACCTACCCCAATGATTTAGGAGGTTTCATTTTCCGAGGCTTCTTCTCCTTTTCTGTCACTTCATCTTTCCGCTTGCGCTTCTTCATTCCACGATCTTCACTGTCTTTTAACTTTGCTATCTAGAATGAGATCAAACAAAGGACAATGGCTCTTCCACCCTAAAGGACTTCTACAGCAAGAAACATTTAGTTTTCCTTACACTTTCCAATTCAGAGCCAGGAAAAATACCTCAGTGTGTGTAAAAGCAAACAGTACCACTGGATTTCTAGCAGCAGTGCAGTTGCTGACAAGTCTCAATAATTACTGATGTTTAAACTGCTACTGAATTCAGAGAGCTCTCAATAAGAAAAACACTGAAAGGCACACACAGACTGACACCCGTAAGCAATGGCCAAATAGCCTTGGAAGACTGAATCCCCCCACCTTCTTCTGCTACCACAGTTTCATTGCTGAGCATGAAGATACACAGTATGGAACATCTTTTTGGCAAGTTCAGATCAGCTGTCTCCCCTCCCAAGTTCTTGCTGATCCCCAGCTTACCTGCTGCTCCACAGTGGGGAAAAAGAAAGCCTTCACATTATGCAAACATTATTCAACACATCAGAGTTTTGTCTGTTGTCATCAATGCTATTTTAGTCATAAATCCAAATCATAGCACCGTAAGGGCTGCTATGAAAAAAAAAAAGTTAACTCCATCCCAATCAGATCCAATGTAAGAACCTTAAGATTATGTTAAAGAATTATAGAGCAGGAAAGGAAATCAGAAAGCAGGAAGCTCTTGGAATGGCATGGAACTTGTGAATGTACTATGCAAACAATTATGTTCACATTGATCATAAGTTTGCCAATGTACACAGAGCAGCACATTGTTTGGGAAAAACTTTATGTGTGCTTTTTAGTATAGCTGTTCTTATGCACCAGGTTTATTTTAACAGATATTTTAAGTGTTATTTTGAATATCAGGAAAACTTTCAAATCATGCAAGAGTTGTGTAAAGTCATAAAAGCAGTACTGGAAAATGTCTCATCTCATAACAAAATCTCAATAAAATTACAGAATCATCTGTCACTTCAGGATGGATGGACACTTCTTAGCTTGCCTAATTGTTACTCTTACAAGACTGGACATCCCCAGTTATTTCCTGAAAGCTAGTACCTGAGCCACAAACCAGAAAATCCAATAAAACAGTGCTGTGCATCATTCTGGTTTCAACCTCTTCATCTGAGCCATTCTGTGCATATCAAATATTTCTCAGTGTCCCCCTAGCATAAGCAGTGCATAAAAAGCATTAGTAAGATCACTCACTTTAGGTGGCCTATGCTTTTTGTCTTCTGCAAAGTCTTCATCCTCTGAGTCAGATGCCTGGCGGAACTGCAGCGTACCAGTGTTGATATAAAATCCTCCATATTTGGTTGTGAGGGATGCAGGAACTAATTCATCATACTGGGCAGGAGGAAAGATGAGTTTATCAGCATTTCTCAGTAAAATAAATATATAGTTAATTTACGAGTCCCTATGCATAAAAAAAAAAATAAAAATCTACACAAGTACACATCACAGCTTGATGGAATAGAAACAGGATAGTAAAGTTACTGGCCAAGGCACAGGAAGCTGACATCACAGAATAACTTTTCTACTTTCAAATAATGCCCTTTTTTGGAAAAAGACAGGTTTATGGCATTAAAAGTACTCCTTTCTGAAGGAAACTAGGATGGGCACAGAGGCCTTCACCCAAATCACCCCAAAAAAAAAAAAAAAAACCAAAACAAAACCAACCAACCAACCAAACTTTCAACCTTTTTCCCCCCAGTATTCTGTCTCTGAGGGCATGTTACACTGTATGTTAAATCTCAAGATATGTATGTAAATCATATGAACAAATATATACCACCTGCCTACAAGCAAGTTCACTTGATTGTTCACTGGTTCCTTTTGTCCAGGAAATAGGCAGGCACAGAGTGAATTATTAGTTTTCATCTAGGACAGTCTTGCAGACATACCAGCAACATCACTGGCTGAAACAAATTTTGTAAAACAAACAAACAAACAAAAAAAACCCACCCCACAACCCTGCCTCTCCCGATTTTAAATTTGAAGTTTAATACTTCTACTGAATGTCCTTCAATTTTATGAGACAATGTGTGGTTCAAATTACTTTGTTAGTCATACACTTTTATCACAGGCCCTTTTCAGTTATCTGTAATAGCTACAGTTATTTCCAGAACCTAATTCTTCCATATTTTCAGAAAAGATGACAGTCTGAACACTGCACTGGAAGAAAACTAATCTGTATCGGAATTTTACAGAATGGATGTTATATCCAGGAGCAGATCGTAGAGATGCTTCTGTAAATTAAGCATAAGAACTTGTCAAGATTATACACTGTTTCATTAAGACTGACAGAATTTTCATTAATACCAGTCTCTGCAGTGTACGTCATGTTCAGACGTTTCAACACATGCTACATTTAGTACCAATTCTAACTACAGTGCTCTGCTCAAAATCCTACTTCTCTTACAAAAGTACCCTGAAATTTTCCTTTATTAAAAATGCTATCCCAGCCATGATAAATTTCGGTACAGTATCTGTTAGGCTTATTTCTAATTTTGTGTTGAATATTACATTGACTCTTACACAAATATACAGTGCCAGAGCTTGTTACATTGGAAGTCATATAAACTCTCACTCTGTTTAGAGAGTTTTAAAACCACAAAGTTTCAAACTCTCATACACACTTTATTTTGAAAAGTACTTAGTATTTATGAAGGAATTTCCCATTTATAAGTACAAAGCTGTATCTCAAAAATATTGAAATCCAAAGACACAGGAAAAGTGGTCAATACTGAAGTACAGGGTAGGACATGAATTCTATTATTTCATGACCAGCAGCCTCCTCAGAATGACATTTTTCCCCCAGGCGTTACCAGGAAACTCTAGGAAGTATCTTGTGAATAGCAAATTCTTAGAGAGGCTGAGAGGATGAGTAGATTCATTGCAGCTCTATGCATAGGTAGCAATGCCAGTCATGGAAGTGTTTGCAAGAGAACTTAGGAAGAGTTGCCTTGACAATGCTGTTACTGCTGCTCAGAAACACAATGCTGTCCTGAACGACTCCAAATTCAAACTACCAGTTTTCGTTTTCAAATCTGGAAAATTTTAGGATGGTGCATGCATGCAACAAATATTAATTCTGGAAGCTACAGTCTGCCTGGAAGTATTAAACCCAAATGCCCGAGACACACACCTGCCAACAAAGATAAGGAGGAAGCATTTCTGAGGCCTAGAAAGTGTTACAAAAGTACCAGTTACCAGTAAGTACCAGAAAGTGTTACAAAAGACCTCAGTGTCTAACAGACTAAGAATCAATTTCTGCCTATCTGAAAGGGTACTATGACACACCTCAGAGGTGTACACTGTGGTAAAGGAAAAAGACAATTTCGAGTTACACCTGCAAGCTATAAACGTTTGGTCGCTCAGCCAAATGATTAAGATACTTGAGAAGGAAACAATGTGCTTGTTATTTTGAAGTCTGAATGGGCAGGCTTTCCATTGCATGTCTTAAGACAGAAATCAACAGGCTGAATAAATTAGTAAGCCGTTTTAACTGCCACAACATTAACTAAAGACTTGAGATCACCTACATGAAGGGAGCACACAGAGTGCAAAGCCAAGTGTCAGCTACCAACTTATTTCCCCCTCCATAACACGAAGGTAAAATGGTTTACGAACTAAGAAGTCTGGGCTACCAGAAGCATTGAGACAGGAAGAACTAACCAGAAGAGGAAAACATGAGATGTACACTTTGACAAGAAAGCCGGTGAAAGAGCCTGAACTGCAGACCTATGTGGATTTAATCTGAGTAAGTAGTCAGAAATTTCAATGAGTCATCACCTTTTATCTTTCTGAAATGGAAGGCTTAACAAGCAGTACAGAAAGGAGGAAAGGGAAATAAAAAAAGTGGTGAAAAGACCTATGAAATACCCTAAGACTATATGAAAGACTAGCGCAAGAAAGCAGAAGAATCTATTAATTGGACAAAAAATAAAGCAAACTGGGCTTGTCATTCATCTTAAGAGACCAGGACGACCATGCAAAGTAAACTTGAGTGGAGGCTGGGTAAGAAGTTCGGAGAAATCTGATGTTTTTCCACAGCTCTCAGAACCAGCTTTATTATGCACAAGGAAGATAAAAGGAAAAGAAAATAAATTACTATCCACAGTGCTTAACAGACAGAGCAGGCATTTCGGTTTTGAGCTGACAGAGTGTGAACTGTATTGGTGAAGTGGGGGCAGAACAGGATCAAAACAGAAGAATACAGTAATTGCCAACTTTGAAGGAGAAAGTACACAGTTAAAGCTGGGACCATTAACATAGTAAGTGAATAACAAGTAAAGGAAAACACAGTAAAGACTCAGCTGCAGAGCAGTAAGGAAGCTCTGGAGAACACACAAGAAAAAGTAAGGAATAGACATTGCCCAACCAATGAAGCCATGAATCACAGCAGATTAACAGAATGATGAACATGCTATGTGGCACAGGTCCATAAGAATAAGGCAATCAGAGAGGCAAAATTCATTCGATACACAGATGAACAAACTACCTATCCCATAACAGCCAGCAGGGAAACAAGGTCAGCAACATTTGGAAGTATAATTTACCAACTGAGGTTTCAACAGCTTCTGCTGAGGACTATGAATTCAGTCAAACTTTTGAAGAGCCTTTTGAAATTCAGTTCTCCTAACCCTTGAGTTTACTTTTCCCTACCAAAATTGGTTTTTCTTCAGCCTACTAAACAAGATATAACTTACAACTAAATGTTTAATTTTATTTTCAACTTAGCTAAAACTGGGGCATGCAGACCACAATTTACTTAGTATCCTCCCTTTGAAGTAAACTTACTTTCTTCTAGCACCTCAATTGAACAGAGAATTTGAATATAATTGTACAAGGTACTGACAATAGCTAGATTAAACTTCGTTTCAAAGTTCCTTCAGGACTCTCAGTTAAAGGGAACATGGCTCTTGAAACTTCTAAATCTTTTGATTAATTGGTTTCAAGACTTTTGCTTTGCACTAGCTTTTCTCCATATGAAATCACAAAACTGATCCTATTAAGGAAAATAGATAAAAGCCCTTTAGTGTTCTGCTCTTCCTTACACATTCCAAGATCGAGAATAAATATTCTCAGACCTCCAAATACACAGGATTTCATATGTAAGACTCCTGAGAACAGAGATTTGTCCAACAAAAGATTATGGACTCTTTCTGCAGAAAACAAAGGAAGACTGATGTATCGTCTGAGCATCTAAAAGCAGATCAGCATGCAAGTTATTTTCAACTACTGTCCTTGAGCTACATTGTTATGTTTCTAGGGCCATTAACCTAATGAAATGTTTAGGTGTAAAAGATTTAGTTGGGTTTATGGATTATATCAATTTAGTTCTGAAATCCAAACCCACAGTATATAGCGGTATCATATTAATACTGTCAGCTCCTGTATGCAGATATTTTGACCGTGATCATCAGATATTTTGACTGTGAGCTCATTCAGCTCTCTTCCAGGCAACAACCTACATTATAAAAATACATGTGACAAGGCTTTGTAACACTTCTGTATTAAATTCTGGAAATGAGTTTTGCTGCAAACATGTCCAAGTATTTTTAAAGACATGCCCCACGTGCATTATTTGTTGTGAAACTGGCATTATTCAGATAAAAGATAAGCAGGGATCACTTTTATTTCTTGTTCAGTTTATTTTTGAAATTACTTTAACCAGCTGGGGGGGGCTGTTTAGTTTTCATCATTAGCTTACTGAATAAAGTCAAACTACTGAAGTTACTTTGAATATGGTTGCTTCAGTCAAATCATAGAATCATAGAATAGTTAGGGTTGGAAAGGACCTTAAGATCATCAAGTGCCAACCCTCCTGCCATGTGCAGGGACACCTCGCCCTAAGCCCTGTTACCCAAGGCCTCGTCCAACCTGGCCTTGAACACTGCCAGGGATGGAGCATTCACAACCTCCTTGGGCAACCTATTCCAGTGCCTCACCACCCTAACAGGAAAGAATTTCCTCCTTATATCCAATCTAAACTTACCCTATTTAAGTTTTAACCCATTACCCCTTGTCCTACCACTACAGTCCCTAACGAAGAGTCAATCCCCAGCACCCCTGTAGGCCCCCTTCAGATACTGGAAGGCTGCTATGAGGTCTCCACGCAGCCTTCTCTTCTCCAGGCTGAACAGCCCCAACTTTCTCAGCCTATCCTCATATGGGAGGTGCTCCAGTCCCCTGATCATTCTCGTGGCCCTTATCTGGACTTGTTCCAACAGATCCATGTCCTTTTTATGTTGAGGACACCAGAACTGCACACAATACTCCAAATGAGGTCTCACAAGAGCAGAATAAAGGAGCAGGATCACCTCCTTCGACCTGCTGGTCAC